TTCAATCTCACAAACCTCGTATCACTTCCGAAGACAAAATACACCTAATCTCTGTTGCATAATCACACGCGAATCTCCTTACTTGTGCCCTGTCACACCGAGCCGCACGGTATAATGCTTTTTACGTCGTTCAATCTGGAGACAGTTCTATAAGACTTAGCATTTAACGTTTGCGGCTGAACATATTTCGAACGAGTGGAAAGAAGTGAAATGAGGATCTCGCGAGACATTCGTAGTTCTATCAAACCACCCCATCGACCCGCTTGACACCGGCCAACAGGAGCATTCAATTGTCAACAACAAAATGAGCTTCAATCTCACACAAGTTCGGATCGCACATGGCAAGTCTAGTGCCGCCAGACTTAAGTTTAAAACAACTATGAACCATTTGACTTCAACCAGCTATATCCCGAAAGGCAGAGTAATTCAACACCAAAGTAAAGCTTTTAGTTACGAATGGAATTCCAACCTCATTTAGAGGAAAATTTTTATCGAGTTCACGTAATATATCATCTGGTAAAACAATTAGCAAGCAAATGTGAACTTTCACTGTTTTGCGCAAACATCATACTCCTCCTATATTATCTATTCCTCATAATATACAGCACATCGCCAGATAAGATTCAATAACCTTGTAAATTAACAGTCTTCGCGAATACATGGAAATGCAAAGAGTCAAACAATATTCACAATCAATAGCTGTCACTTTATTAACAATTGCCAACACAAGAATATTTGTACAAAACACAGAGCGCGAGAAGCATTCTTTACTCATCGTCATCGCTCGATGGTATCATCAAATCAAATCATCGCGCGCGAGACGCGAGTGCGTCATCTGGCATGTTTCGCACCCATCTCCCACTTGAGACAGCGTACCAAAGTTCTGTGCATCGTAGCCCCCAAAAGGCCTTCCTCACTTGCAGCGTTTAAAGAAACACTTCGTTACTTGGTGCACAGGAAAGCACCTGTAAGTCACATATAATAGTGTCAAGTCAATGGCGTCGAATAGCCATTATAATACAAATGCAAAGATCATTATTATGTCCAGCACAAACCATACCTATATGTATATATATATAACATATATTTTTGTACTTGTGTCTACATTAAAACAACATAGATTGGCCAATGCTAATCACGCTGCACGAGATGAATCACGCTCCTGGCAAGCACAGCGTTCAATGACGCGCCCTTACTTCCTTCACCAAATACCAGCCATAGCATCAGGAAAGGTAACTCAGGATTTGCCAACAACGGTCCCACGCTCCAAAAATGGACTGATAGTGTGCCCTCATGATGGCCGCTGCAGCGAAGAGCAGCACCTGTGTCGGTGCAGACTCCGCTTGCGCCTTGTTCTTTCTTGATCGGCCGACCTGACGTCTGCACACAGTGGTCCACCATCTCCGAGAGGATACCCAGTTTGCCCACACCATAGCGTTCGCAGAAGATCCACTAAGGCCATCAAACTGTCTTTGCATTGTACCGCGCGAAGCTCCAACATCTGCCCCAATCCACTCCTGCGATCCCATCATCAACAACCAGACTTTCCCAGCACTTCTCTGCCTCATTCCTGAAAATCGCCCAGTGATGTCTGCACCACTGAAATCATCGAAAGCAGGAGCTGCGACGGTGCTCGAGCCCACCACATCAAAACGTTGTGAAAATGCTTCGACGCCTCCTGCTACTGTTCCGTTACAAGTGACACATTTCCCACAACAGCTCTGGGTCACCGTCTAGCGCCAGGCTACGCAGGACATCATTGCTCCTTGAGAGAGTCGCATCCCTCGCACCGACCTAGCAACACTGGGACCTATCCTACAATAAAATTTAAATAACAATACTTTACCCTATATACGTATATACCATTACTACATTTACTATAACTAAGTTTTACAGTGCGCATATAAACTTTTATTTCGTTATGCTACTTCTCATCATTTATAGATCAAAAGTGCTTTCAGTAAAAAAACATTAATCATCCTCTAAAGAGCAAAATTAGCCGCTTTATACAACAATTGACATCGAACTACTACCTTTTTAAACTTTTTTTGCCATGCCGATTGCGAAATTGTAGACCTTTCTAATTCATATAATTAAAAATAACAAACAAATAACACATATTACGTATCTATATTCCCATTCCATGGCCAGCACATCTCCATCCAACCCCTTGCTATCTGCACTTAACCGCTCACAAGCTGTGCCGACCACACTGCTCTGGAACTAAACCCTGCCCTCATCAGCAGTTCTCTGCATATCCTCCAATATAAGTTCTTACATCCCGAGTAGATTTTGGGAGTAAAACTAAGAATAATAATTAAATTATCACCACTATCATCTAATCATGGTGTTACGTACAGTTTAAAGATTCTAATAGTCTAAAAATCAGCCAATTATATACAGAGAAATATTGGAACATATAAGATAATCAGTCTATCATAGGTATCAAATTTGGCACTACTGAATTTCCAAAGATATAGAGAGCATTTAATTTTTATTATCAGCAAAAAACAACACTTAAGATAAAACCTTTTTTCAAACCAAAACAAAAACATGTTTTAATACATTAAAAATAAAGCACTACTTGCTTTCGTGCCCAAAACCCGTGTAAATAGGAATTATTTTTACGTAAAGAAAATATATTCATAATAAGTTCATACTCACCTGCAAAAGAAATCCCATTTCAGTTTGCAAAGCGCCTAAATTCTGACTTGTCACAGCTTTAAAACTTTCTTTTTCATAGAAACTCATTTCATATCTGGACCTCCACAACTTTCCACACTCCTGCTTTCACCTGATGAACCACTACTGATCATCACTGTCATCGGCATGCTTTCTAGAAATCCTTTCTACATTCAGTTTCCTGAAATGATATGCTGTGCTACTTGTAGTTTTGCTTCTTTCGGGTTAGGGGTTTAAGACCATTTTAGAAATTATACGAGTTTTAACGAAATATTATGCTTTGTCAAATGTAGCAACTGCAAGTCCAACCTACCAACGTACATACTAAAACTCTTTAAAGAAATTATAAATACTAGAGTTGTGGCATCGATTTGGGGAATTTTAACACCTTTATTCAATAGTATCAAAGGGATAAATGAAGGTAAAAAAGAAAACACTGAAATACCCCCCCCCATCTCCTCTCCCCCCCCCGTTTTTCCGCCAACCCCACTTGAAATCTATTCTTTCACGTCTTTGTCAAACTTCAACAGAGATTTCCATCATTTCTATCGATAATGCTGCCATTACTTTTATTGTGGTGGAATTTAATCGGGACGGAGGTAATTTCGATTCAAACAGGGGGGAGTTTTCCCAAACGGGGCGCGCGCGCCCCGTTTGCGCAACGTAGGGAGAACCCTTGCATCGCAGGAGGCAATTCGCGACCTACCTAGGTTGTCCGACTCCTAGTAGTAGTAGTAGTACTATAGCCCGCGGATAGCTGCCGCGGCCGAGCTATAACACATTCTGCCATAGATGTAATGACACCAAATGCTCCAACTGGTCTAGCCAAAAATTAATTCCCAAAACGCAAAATGATCGGGCTTTTTAACACTTATTTATTTACATGGACATCTCACCTATCTTTTTGAACATTTCCACAAGTTTACACCACGTATTTTAGACCGAATAATTTTGTCCCATATAACCTTTTTTTATATTTTGGTGAGGGTTATTGGGACAGAACAGGGTTCATTGAAATTTCGTGAGATCGCATGCAAAATGCATGTGCTGCGAATGCGGCCCGTACGCCGCTATTGGCGCGAAAAAAACCCTACCGTTCCCTTCTACGTGGCTTTACCTTGCTAATGATATGTGTATACCTTCACTTCAATCGTTATTCACTTCTTAAAAGATTGTTTTTCAGAAACCTGCTTCATTCCACTTTCGTAAATCACATTCGCCATTTTCAAACAATCAGACCAATCAGAGCGAGTCTTACAATAGCCTGGTTCTCGCTTGTATCTGTGGCGCTGCAGGAGGGCTGATAGACTCGCTCTGATTGTTCCGATTGTTTGTAAATGGCGAATGTGATATACAAAAGTAGAATGAAGTGGGTTTCTGAAAAACAAAATTTTTTAAGAAGTGAATAACGATTGAAGTGAATGTATACACATATCAGTAGCAAGGTAAAGCCATGTAGAAGGGAACGTTATGTTTTTTTTCGCGCAAATAGCGGCATACAGGCCGCATTCGCAGCGCATGCATTTTGCAAGCGATCTCACGAAATTTCAATGAACCCCGTTCTGTCCCAATAACCCTCACCAAAATATAAAAAAGGTTATATGGGACAGAATTATTCGGTCTACACGTATTTATGCATTTATTCCTAAAAGTCTTAGCACTACTGGTGTTTCGTTTTCAAATGCGGTTGCTCTGCAGCCTGCTTATGTGTGCACGCGTCACCCGAAATGTAGACAAAACACATGGGCAGCTATGATTCAGCCTAGTACATTTCGGGTGACGTCACGCGTGCACACATAAGCAGGTGTCATTACATCTATGGCAGAATGTGCTATAGCCCTGCGGCAGCTATCCGCGGGCTATAGTACTAGAGCTAGTCCTAGTACTACTAGTACTACTAGTAGTAGTAGTACTAGTAGTAGTACTGAGTAGTAGTAGTGTCTATGTCCCCCCAGGGTACTATCGGAGGGTACCCTGGGTACGGTTCGATATATCGGAAAGTACCTCGGGGTACTATACGATGTGTCGCTGCGTACCCTGCATTGTCCCACCGTACACAGGCACTTGGAGCGTTTCAATAAAATATAATGCTTTATAAACACGAAATCTATTTACTACCAAAGTCTTAATGTTTCTATACTCTCTTTCACCTATTATTGCCGACAATTCCGTAAGGTTAGACAGGATACCAGCAAAATACTCCGACAGATTACTCGGCAAATAAATCAGAAAAAGTTCTCTTTACGAACTCATCTACTGAAAGAGTGTATGGTTACTTTCTTCTTTTTAGTAGCAGATCTTCTTGTTCTAGAAAAGTGTAATTGTTCGTTTTGTCCTGGAAATATCTTGCGGTTATATCTCATATATAACCACATTAATAATGTGAATTTTATTTGGTTCCATGCACGGGTCCATGACTATTACAAATAATTCTGGCTAGATACAATTTGCAATAAAAAGCACTGCATAAAACTAAAAAGCTAATTGAAGTTTATTTCATTTTGTCAGAATGGTTTTCGTCACAGAGTTGTCTTACAAATACAGAGGTTCGGAAACAGCGGAACAAGGCATTTGTGGCCGAAAAGAAGCGTCAGATGTCTCTTATAACAAGAGTCGAAAAGATCAAAGTGGAGTTCAAAGGGCATCCGGAAGACACAACATTGATCATGAATAGGGGCTTGTCAACTCCATACAACTGTGCAATGCGTGAGTGTGAATATTCCTGAATGTATAAGTTAAAAGTTAGCCTGTTATACATTGTTGAGTGCATATTATATTAACATGGCAGTTGCACAATTCATCAACAACTGCACATGTGTTGATGCAAGTTTTTGTAGTATGATGATGAGTAGGGGTGAGTATTGCGACCAAAAACCGTATTGCAATATATTGCAATACGACAAAACCGTATTGCAATATTTTCCAATACGTATTGGGAAGTGTATACCATGCATGATATAGTAACAATTTGATGGTTTTAATATCATCATATATTGTATTATATGACATGATTTAATTTCTCATGTTTTTCTTGAGAAACAGAAGCACGGCAATGTTTTCCGCTGACAGTGCAGCCCTCTGTGCCGTAACAATGTCACCCGCTGTACTGAATACCCTCTCGAAAGGCACTGACGTAGCTGGAATACACAATACCCCTGCTGCATAATTGGCTAATACTGGATACTGAAACTGAAACAGTGGGTGCTCGCTTCAGCTTGTATCGCGCGCGCGCGGGCACTCAGGTGAGCATAGGCTATATATAGACTCCCTAGTTGCCGTGCTCTGTGCCTCGCGCACACGTCTGCCCCACTCTGCCCGCGCAGTAGTACCGCGCAGTGCTCCATGCAGTGGCCGCTTACCAGTAATACTGTATGCGTCGTGCACGCATTGTGCTTTCGTAATATATACACCGCCAGTGCATAATTTTCGAGCCCATTAACAATATAGACATAAAGGCAAGTGTCAAGTAATTTATTTCTTGTTATACCACCGTATATCGTAAAATATCGATATCCGGAAGTTGTATCGCGATATATCGAGTTTTCAAAATATATTGCAATATACCGATATACCGGTATATCGTTACACCCCTAATGTTGAGGCATTGCTGTAAAAGACATTGTTATTTCAACTGATTTTGTCTACATACAGATATGCTACGTAGAGAGTAAAACCCGTGTTTGCGGACACACCTCTATAGAACGGACACCTGTCTATAAAGGACGTGTTTGGTGTTTTACTTGAGTGACAGTTATACAGTGAAATCACATTTAGAATGCACATCTGTCTATAAAGGATAGTTTTGGCACTATCGTGGAATGACTTTTATATATATAGGTTTGAGTGTACTTTATTCTTTCCTATATTATTTTAGATATGGAAGAATTGTTGAGGAACAGGTCTGCTTTAGCGTTGGTAGATGGGCGACCGTGGGACATGCACCGCCCCCTAGTGAAAGATTGTGAATTACAGTTTCTGCATTTTCAAGAGCAAATACCATACCTTTCAAATATGGTTAACAAGGTATATATGTGTTTGAAGCGTATTTCCAGAAGAATTTTATGGTTATATGACGATTTATTGAGCAATAACTCATATTAGAAACATGTAGCTAAATAACTGTTGAACCAGATTTGAACCATTGTGTTTTGTTGTAGTCATTATGGGTTTCTCCACCTCATTGCGCTCTTACAATGTTGCATTTATTGACAAGTATAAAATGGCACATTTTTATTTTTACACATATTAACTAAAAATTATTATGTTGCATAAGTAAACCCGAATATAACTAAGAAATAACCTGAATGCTGTACAACTGCTATTCTTTAGGCATGGACATGCAATGCATGTTCCATGACGCAGAGTCATCCGTTAAAATGTGGATTTTCGAAAGCTATGAAATGTTTACAGTGTAGTCGAGCAACTCTGGTCTTGCATAATTTGGCTGGGTATGTACATGCTGCATGTTTGTTTCTAAATAGGCATTTTGGAGATCAGGCTCATTTCTACTTGGGTACATAATGGATCGAGCATTCAAGGATCAATACTATGTAGAACCACATAGTTGGCCGGCACCTGACAGTAAGCACATTTAAATCTGCATTCCCGCTAAATTTTTACAAATCTTTTGAAAGTTGATAATCGTAACATTGTTTTTGTGCCTGTCTACACACATACAATAGGTAAGAAAATATTAGCTCAGGTCAACGTGTTTTCAAATCATTTCGCTAAAATGTGTAGCTTTAAAAACGTGTTGTGAACAGCACTTTTTTCTTGCCCCTTCTTCACAAAGCTGTGACGTACAACATAATAAGGAATAATCGCATGCAAATGCTCTACCATCACTATATAAACTGTCTTTGCAAGGTGAATGTTTGATATGTATTTGATCTGAGCTAGTGTGGACAAGATGCTTATTTTTGCACAAGTTCAATTGAATATTTATGCAATTTTTAGTGTAATTTGTTAGAAAAGCTTTGTAGGAATGTAAGTCTGCGTGATGGTCTGGTCATAGGACAGTTACAACAGAAAACATCTCGCGTATTCTTATTAAATCGCACTTTGCTGTGCCTCGTTCAATGTGTCTTTGTTCCTGGTTCTAAAAACACTGGGAGTAAATTTAAAATTTAACAAAAGCAACATTGAGATCAAAAAAGATTAAGTGATTGTATACTTGAATGTTTTTCATTGTTAGTAAGAAGTGGGAGCTTCATCTGTGATATTGACTTGAAGATGGACAACTGGACACCGAACGAAGAAGAAAGGAATTGTTTGACACGGATAGGATATAATATGCTTTTGAGCACATCATCCAAGGTGTTTGAGCGATTGGAAGTCGATGCAAGTGTAGCTCAAGATATGTTTGCTGACAACAGGTATGTTGACTGGTGAGGAAACATCAAAGCCTTCACAGCTGACAAGCAATCCTATTTTGGCAGAGCAGAGATGAGGCTTTCTTTCTCAGAGAGAAAGAAGCAAGCAAGGTCTTGTAGGGCTGGATGTTAATTGGCTTAATTGCTGTGCAATGTAATTGAAGAGTTTTGTCAATTGTGAGTTTAGACAGATTATGTTTATTTGGTGTAATTTGGACCACTAGCATTTCTAAAGCCCATGATCTATATGGTAATGTAATGTAATCCTCTCTGCATGTGTTCATGATGTCCTATACAATTTAACACCACAGCTAAGGTAGTCAGTGGTTTAGTGTTTTCTTTCGTCAAGTGTTTGCATTGGACTCCATTCCTTGAAAGAGGGACTTGGAAGTAACTTTGGAAGTAAGACTCAAATTTCCGCTGGTGTCCAGTGACAAGGTCCGACCGTAAAACAGGGTACTTGACTCTGTGGACTGGTGTTAAAACGGTTATTGCGAGATTTTTGGCTGAGAAAAACTCAATATAGCTGAATTTAGTCTCACCTGACATCAGAAACATCACTGATTAGACCAACATTAAAAACACTAAGATTTTATGCAGTTATAGCATAGAAAAATGGATTTGACCACATCATACTAGCTCTGAATATTATCGTATGTCGACTATCCAAAATACAAATGGCGCCTTCAAACGGAGTGCATAATTAAAACAAAAGGGCGTGCAATTCTGTGTGGTAAATATTATTGACCTTTTATGTCAATAATTCAGAGCACGTTCTGTCATTGTCATTACCGTGTTACTATCTGACTGGTAATCCACAAGCTTCTCTAATAACAGATTTTACGCGGTATGAGTAAGCAGCTACACTGCTGTTACGCTAGTATGAACCTCTGTGTTTACACTCTGACCTGATTTCTACGGTGCGTGGTATGCATTGCTGCACCGTGATAGATGTCTCGCGGCTACCGCGAGAAAGTCCGATAGATGGCAACGGTAAACAAAACAGAATGCAAAATTGTAATTGTGCATGATTTGGTGAATACGAAGGTTCCAAGGCATTTTATCGTTACTCTAGACAATTGCTGTTACTCAAGCAATAACGGTAGGTGCCATGAAAGTGGGGAAAACACTGGAAAACTCTCGCAATAATTACTTTAACCTAAACCCCTGACTGGTGATGGCAAGCTATGGTAACCTAAATGATGCATATTTTTTTGATAATCTTTATAGGTTCAAACTAGAACAGATTCCTGATATCGCTGCAAAGTCCAAGTCCCAAAACACTGTCACCGTCTACAAGCTTGACGACCACATTGACATTAGCGGTGGACCCATGATTGCTAACTCTGGTCTTGTAGGCCTTTTTGCGGTTTCTGCAGTAAGTACAGGTATCGTTAATCCTAACCACATGAAACTATTTCGATTTATTTCCATAGGTTGTTGGTCGTATTGTATCAAAATCATGTGCTTACTGTCACAGTTGTGGTCAAATGTATTGTAATATCCTGGCTCCATCTACCAGAAGAAACAGTTTCGATGCACGGATTGATAGCATTGGGTCAAATTGCCACTAACAACAGTGTGGTGTGTTTAAACACACTAGATAGTGTATGTTCTGCAAGCATATAGCTAAGGTAGTATCATACAAACTACACATTTACTACTGGAATTTTATTTTCATGTCGTACCAGAAGTTTACAAGCAAAGTTTTTACCTACTCCTGATTGTCCCAAGAATTTCACATTTCAGTTTTGGCAACCCTTTATTTGCTTTATTGAATTTTTTTTTTTACAGGTGCATCCAATCGATACCAAATTTGGTAGGCTTCATAGAGTACAAGGTCTAGCACTTCCAACACAGCTAAAAGTAAGCTATCAGTTCTAGCTTAGCATTGGAAATGTAGTGAATTAAATGCAAACAGTGTATTATATTGAACAACTATAACCATTAGATAAATTCCTCTGGCTAATCGAAGCATTGTGGAATTTTGTAAATTGAATGTTGTAATAACTAGTTAATGTCAGTTATTCAGGAATTGGATTTCAGAACAAATCCAGTAATGCGGAGGGGTAAATTTCTCCTGGATTTGTTATAGATTTGCTAACACCACCCAAAGCATAATATCCGTATCTGTTCTTTTACCAAATATTGGTAAATTTAAGTGTGCACACTGTAAACCAGTACCTGCAGCTCAATATTTATTCATAATTATTGTGTAATTCAAATTAGAGGGGAAACTCGAATAACACAACATGTTTGTCCGACCATTTACGTTAAACATGCATGATGTGATGCCTGCAATACTTGATAAATTTAAAAAATGATATTCCATATGGGTACATCTTGTAGTAAATTTGGCTATCCTACCAGTACCTGATATTCTGCCGTATGTTTGGTCATATCTGTGCATGCCATATTTGTCAATCTTTGAGTGGAATCGTTGGTTTGAGTTACAAATCCATGCAGATTTGTCCCCAAACAGGAAGTTCATTCCCTGTTTATTGCATGGATTTTTAAATTTTATATTCTGCAGAAAGATCAGTTTGCACATTTGTCATTAATTTATTCCAATACGTCAACAAATATGATCTCGTCGGTTTTCAGATTCGGAGTTGGACTTGGAAACTACTGCTAGAGCGAGCAGCTAAATATGTGAGTGTATTGATGCATACTATGTTACGGGAATTTGTAGGGGAGTTCTCGTGAATTGGGTGATACTCCATTAGGAGTGTTCCCAACTTTAATGTCATTGATGGTTAGGGTTAGGTTATAGGTTAGGTTAGGGTTAGGTCTACATATAATGTATAACTACATATAATGACATTAATTAGGTCACGACACTAATTAGGTTACGCCATTAATGATATCAACGTTGGGAACACTCCTAATGGAGCGTTAGCCCGTGAATGACCCAGTTGATGCTATTTGCTAAGTCATCCGACATGTAGACATGTAGTTTGCGATCTCGTGATTCATCGTTATTGTCAGCCTCCAAAATTAGCATGCTGACTAATTTGCAGAATGCCACGCGGCTTCCGGGAGAGGTGCCAAGTTCGGATGACAACATATCTGGTAGTCAAACAATAGAGCAGCCATTCCTGCCACCTAGCGGAGCATCTCGTCCACAAGAGGCCACCACGTGATAGAATAGGATATCAATCTATATACCACCAGTAGCACTACCCCATTTAGAACAACTATGGCTTCCCTTTTCACATTATGGGTTGCTGCAATGAGAAACGTGCAGAATAACTTATGATCGTGATGACAGGGGTTGGAAGTCAGATTTTGAAGAAACATGAGCAATTGTATATTGTAATATTCTTCTCATGTAATGTAGTTACCTGTTTCTTGCAATGTTTGTTTATCAGGTGCCCACTCTTCCTATATTTCCATACCTTTGTGCAAATTCAATGAGCACTTGTAAAATCATAGCAAGTGTTATTTCATATGAAGGGATATTACATGTGGGTACATTAAAATGATACAAAATACAAGGAACTGTTATGATGTTGAACTAAACTGTTTATGGCTGCATGATTTCTGTAGTTATTATTGAGTTTATCACATTTGTTGTTGTAATTCTGCTATTAGTACATGTATATGAATATGGATTAAACGTAGATCATAGGCTTTATGTACATGCACTGTATGATAAAGTGATGCAGGAGAATTATCCACAGATGCAGAGTATCTAGGAAAAGAAAGAAGTGCTATGCAGGGGTCTTTACCTGTGGTCCATGGACTATTTTGGGGTACATGAACTAGGCGCATCAAAATTTTGTGTTCATGTGCATTTTTCTGGGGAGGAGTCCGTCGCTCTTACCAGATTCTCAAGGGGTCCATGACTGAAAAAAGGTTAAGAACCACTGTGCTATACTGTTGATATTATGCATTCAAAGAAAAGGCCATACTCAGCAAACCTATCACAATATGTTATTTTGGAATGCCACGCCTTGCCACCATGCTCAGGATAGCTGCATGCTGTTCTACATCAGTGTCTGTTGGTTCAGAATGCAGTTCAGTGAATGTTCTGCTTGGCTGCAGTCATGTGACTCCTGTATTTCCTGTCCTTGCGTATTTCCTGGAGGGGCACATTGTCATGATTTCTTCAATAACTGAGTACTCTTTCGCTACTGGCACACAAGAACCTCGGAGTCTTTTGGAATTTCCGTCTATACATTACTATTGCCTTCCTATACTTTTAAAATACGTAGTTAATAGGGATGAATCGTGATAGCTTAATTGTATACATTTATATAAGCTAATAACTAAATGTTGTCTGCATGATAAAGATAATAAATGTAAAATTAATAATTACATAACCTGTACTATACTATATGAAATGCTATTCCTGATCAGAAACCGTGTAGAGTTTGATAAGGCCAAAACAAAATATAGGTGTGGTTACGGTTTCCCGACCGACCCTATTTATTCCCAGCGACCCTAAACATTTTATTGTCAATTTTCTTTAAAGTAAAAAAAAAAAAAAAATTGTAGAGTTCCTGCTTCAAAAGGCACAACGCACATCCTTCGGACATGGTTCGTAAATAAAATGTTTCAATAAAATAAAATGTTTTCCCTACCTACCTACCCTATTTTTTTTCGGCATGAAACGGTAACCACACCTATATTTTGTTTTGGCCTAATGAAAAGTTTCCGTATAGCAACAAAAAATAGGAAAGATCATGGCTATAAATGCATACATAATTATATTACTACTATGGCACTTCAAACAATGGAAACAATGTTATCACAGCTACTACTATGTTCTGACTCGTTGACAGCTCCTGCATGCAGTAATTTCTCTTGTACGATACATATAATACAGTCTAAATTCTATGGCATTCACAAACGCGACTAGTAAGTCCCTCTGAGTTTTTTCCACCAGAGCTTTGCTGGAAGTAGGTGGGCTTTCTGCTGCAGCTTTGCATCAAACACGTTGAAGTGCGCCCTCTGTAGGCCAGTCAGGTAGTTATCACAGACGAGGGCTGGCAGAAACACGGACAGCGCCGGTCGTGGCAGACTCGAACTTAATGAGCGAGCCTAATAGGGAAAAGAGACAATCCATCAACGATGCTGACAGACGAGGTGCCTTTTATAGAAAGGGAACAGCAATCGGAGGTCTAAGAGCCACAAATAACGGAGACCTTTTTTTCTGGGGCTAAATTCGGCACTCGAGCATAAATGGTTGTGAAAGTGACACTGCCAAAACACCTACTTTTAGCTTACATTTATTTCTTAAGTGCTCTTCAGTAGCACTCTTCGTTATACGAATTTTATTACTGTAGCATGCTCTAGTTGAGTGGCAAATAATGAAGTATACATAATAATAATAATAACAATAATAATAATACTTTATCTAGGTGCTGGTGTGCTAGGCTGGCGAGCTCAAATACTGCATCTTTCATTTCCTGCTCCTGGCTCCCTCTATACACCTGCTCTTCTGATACTTTATGCTAAAGGAACATCAATAACAAAAGCTATAAACAAATACACCCACGTTGGAACAAATGTGCCCAAGATGTGGAAGCTTACTGCATTTCACCAATGGCTTACAGTATATACCATTTCATGAAATAAAAGTGTCAATGACACTAGCTCACCTTGGGTGTGATAGAAGAGGGAGAGGGGATATATAAAGCAAGAGTATATATGGGAGAACTCCCATTATATAGCATATCTCCCATTATATACTCTTGATAATGATATATGCATAAGTTTTGATGCGAAAATAAATGTTTCAGATCTGAAAGTCTGAAATTTTGACGAGAGATAGCGCTACGCCTAAATGATCGTGATTTTGGTTTTCGAATATCGCACAAATAAAAACAATAAAATATTCCAGTCAAATTACTGTAACGAAGAATCTAAAACACAATATTACACGTATTTAGGTATGATTGTAGAGTTGTTGACCAGTTAGACAAAATTCACGTAATAGGACGTTGTTATCTCTCCCATAGGAGTAACAACTGTTTTGGGGCTAGCCTTACACATTCATATACCAAAATTTAACAAAATCTAATTAATCTAGATGGCCATTTCAATTTTTGCCAAAAAGTGGACGTGGCTCGAAAGTAGGTCGACTGGCGTGCTCTAAAATAGGACGTGCAAACCTCTCCCATAAGGGTAACAACTATATGCAATTTTAAACATGTGGGTCAAACGTTTCTTGAGCTAAAAAACTAAGAGGTTTCAGAATAGTTTTTCACCTTTGCTAACACCTCAACCGGTAGATTTAGTTTACGTAAGGATGCATGGTAAGGTGTCGCCCGTAGCAGAGTAGTAAATCCCAGAGCTTTGCCGAGATGACTGGCAGCATGATCTGCATGCACATCCCTGATTCCTGCAAGTGCAAACATTTCAGATTTACAACTATAGTAAGTACCATTTCAATATCTATATGCAACTAATTGAGCAACAGCTATAAAACCTGCACTACTCTCCACTACTGACACCTTTCAATGTGTTATGATAAAAAAAATTTCTGTTAACTGTTATGCACTCTAACCAAGAGTAAATAATAACAAGAGTTACACACCCGATTCCCACATTTTTAACTGATTTTTCTCATCAAAATTTGCCACCAATAAAGAGGCAAGTGTATACGTTCCTCAGCTTATTATGACCACTAATCAATTACCTTCATGGTACTGATATTCATTTACACATATTTGCTAGCGTATTGCTGTAAATCGTAATCTTGCTCGAGCTTAATTCGCACAATTTACCGCTATTGTGTAGAGGTGTTAAGCCAAAATTTGAAGCTATAATGGCACCAATATTTAGCAACGGACTGTTTCCAAATCATTCGTGCCCCGATAGGGTTGAGAGACAATCTAAATTTCGAATTTTGATCTCGTGAGGAACCGCGAGACGTGCTCAGTTATTATGATCGCAACACAAGAAATTGACATACAATGATTCGTGCCCCGATAGGGGTTTAATGTACTTGATTACCTGCGCATGCGTAATATTATACTTACTGCAAGCTACTACAGAGAATATTGTTATTATTGTATTATTACTTTAATATAAAGTAATAATACAATAATAACAATATTCTCTGTAGTAGTTTGCAGTAAGTATAACATTACGCATGCGCAGGTAATCAAGTACATTAAACCCCTATCGGGGCACGAATGATTTGGAAACAGTCCGTTGCTAAATATTGGCGCCACTATAGCTTCAAATTTTGGCTTAACACCTCTACACAATAGCGGTAAATTGTGCGAATTCAGCTCGTGCAAGATTACGATTTACAGCAATACGCTAGCAAATATATGTAAACGAATATCAGTACCACGAAGGTGAGTAATTAGTGGTCATAATAAGCTGAGGAACGTATACACTTGCTTCTTTATTGGTGGCAAATTTTGATGAGAAAAATCGGTTAAAAATGCGGGAATCGGGTGTGTAACTCTTGTGTTATTATCTTGACTCCAGATAACACAATGTAAGAAAGTGATTAGATGGATACGATATATATGGTATGATGTGCAGATTTGACCGATATTAAGATACACAGACATGTCTACACACCGACACTTTCCAGCACCAGGAACATAACGGCAGACGATGTACAGTCTGCATATTCCTCCACAGCTTTGACTGTCATCGGTGCCTTTTCCTCCAGACTCCTCTCCTGACAAACGATAATGAGAACCTGTCTATAGCAGAACATGTGTGTCTTGTAGTCACAAACAAGTGAAGTAATAGTAATGATAATATTGGAAACCTAGAAAAATTCGGATAAAAATGTAATTCTTACCCGAGCTTCTATGAGTTTTGTGAGCCAGCGCCTGGACAAATTTTTTGAGTGAATTGCCTTGAATGAAAGACAACATGAATGTAAGTCACACGCCCTTGCTTGCCTATTTGAAAACACTTATTACATAATAATTATAGCATAGTTATAACTCTATACTAATGTATGGCAACACATTGTTAGTTCATATTGCACTGTTATTATATTCAAAAATGTATCAATTTAATTCGGTTAGGTCTTTTGTGGAGCATGAACATGAGAGCAACAGATAATTGCTTACCCTCCCTAGTTCCATTGCAACAGGTTGCTTGGGTGCTGCTTCCTTGTATAACTGGTCTAATGAATCTTTCCAGAATTGCAACCTCATCAGACCAATTTGTTTGTTTGTTACTGTGTCTTGTACCTACAATGAAGCAAAGACATAAATAACATGTTAAGGAGATACATCTTTGACTAAACTATTGCAACACGATAACTTTTAGATGGATGGATGGATCATGGATGGAAGGATGGATAGATGGATGATTGGATAGATAGACAATTGGGTGGATGGATTAATGGGCAGACAGGCATGTAAATACAATAAATGAAGGGGAAAATGACAGGATAACAAATGATTAACGTAAATTTAAAATGGGATCGTTTACCGCAAACACAGCACGCAGATATTTTCGCACCTGTGCAATCTCCACATTGAAGGCTCGGATTGCCATGGCAGATGTTCTGCCATGCTCTGGTAACAGAAGAGTACAGAGAAATCCCTCATAGTCGGATCTCCTGCAATTTTAGTTGTAATGTAAAATGTAATCACCTACACACTGAACAGAAGCAGATGTGAACGCAGACCAGATTAGTTCTACCGCCTCGGTGTAACCCTTGATGCTTTAACCAGACTAAACTGACTTTTATTAGAAATTTTACACTATTAATTATTGCTACTAGTTAGGTATCAGTGAGGTAAGGGGGCATGTACTCAATAAATGCTTTGATAAATATGATAATAATGATAATCTATATATTACGGGCAATCTTCGCTGCACATTCTTAAAATCTTGAAATTGCGCGGCAATCTTGAGATTGCGCAAGACTCCACAGGTACATGAAACAAACTAAAATATACGGTCCAAACGTTTTCTACTCTATTGAAAAAACTATATTCCTACTTCAGATTTTAGAAGAGGAGTTTATATTTTAGACTGTGCAAGGATGCTGCTGATCGAGATTGCGCAGCGCAATCTCGAGATTGCCGCGCTGTCTGCCGATCGGTAGATAGCGCTACACGATCTTGAAATAGCGCAGATTGGAAGATTGTGCGCAACATATATATACTATTACTATAGAGTATAGTCATATACACGCAAAATCCCACATATTAGTTCATTTTGATGATTTTAAACTAGTACTAGTAGTAGTATAAACAAGATTTTGAGACCTGCATGGCGATCATGTCGCACCAGCAAAATTGCCATGCCACAATGCCACAAACACGTTTTTGCAAATAATTTTTATTCCTGTTTATATTTGTGAAATGCACGAGAAATACATAATGCCCTGGCCATAGACATTTCATGTGATTGAAAAACCCCGTGACAAAGTGAGAACGTAAGACTTCACATTGACATTTACTCGTATTAATTAATTGACATGCCCCTAACACTGCCTAAATGGCTAATCCTAATAATTTAGTGAAATAGGACAAATTTTAAATCAAAATACTGAAAGTCAAAAGTATATTTAGCTCACATAAATACGACGACGCATCTAGTCATACCTGACGATATCTATACAGTAATCCGTTGACGTTTTCTTTGTTTGTGACGCGTAAAATCGTTGGAAAATGCGTGTAATTCCATGTTTGCCTAAACATTTTGAGCTTCGATGCACTAATTTCATGGTGGCTGACATGCTGAAATGCGTAAAACAAGTATACATCGCGTGTACGCATTGTGTACGTAATACATGATTTATTAACTTTACATTAGGACTTTTAAATTCTATTACTATTTTTGCAAATAGATATATATTTCATAATTAAGTTTATACTATCTAAAATTATTATTAATTATAAAAGTAATAAATAAATATCATAAACAACAATTCTATCCGTACTGTTCGACAATCAAGTGAGGGAAACAGGCCTGTTTTGAAAGTTTGTAGGGACTGCACAAATTCACGAACCTAATTTTTGTCTATATAAGCTGCTTTGCATGATAAAACATTGAACATGGTGAGAAGAAGCCCCAGGGTCCGGGCAAGAGTAGCGTCAGGGTCGGATACAGCCGAGTAAGTGTCTCTCTATAGTGCAGAAACGTGTCAAATAAAAAGGTCTTGTCGGCATGGTCACTGCGCCACTACTGCAACTAGATCCAATGATATACGGTCATATATTTAGTATTTCAAGACTGTTTAAGTTACAATTAAACGAACTCTTTTATCTTGCAAATTCCTCAAATTTTTTCACAGCTAGAATAATATATGATACCCCAATTTAATCTATACGTATTTGGCGTGCATTACGGTGATTACCGTACCTAACGCAGTAACAGTGCACTCTGAACTTGTGGCTGTGCAATAGCCTGAGTACTAATACACCCGTTGACAGTTTAACACTGCGCATGCGCTTAGCCTAAGGTCAAAGGTCAGGAGGAGTTTCCGTCCCAGAAAGCGCGAGTAAAATGCGCGAACAATGGCGTTAACGTGTAGTACTAGTATGAAGGGCTGCTCAAACGGATCGTATTGGCTTAAGAAAGACTTTTAGAGCATGCATTGACCATAATTTAAATGTATCAAGTGTCATGTCACTCAGGTCATCCATTATCGGTGCTCTATTCCCTGCTACGTGCACTGTTCTTCGACACAAAGGTGAGCGACCTGCGTATGCAAGGCAGATAACGCATCGAGATAAACAATATGGTGGAGTTTACTCGCACATCCGGGCTCTCGCGGAGATGCGTAACTAATGGCGCAGAACATAGGCGCAGAACTGTCAATGGGTGTATACTAGGTATTACTATTAGTCTATTAGTATTACATGTAATGTTGTGTGCTGCGGTTACAGATTATCTCTAAAACCTGCAGCCACATTTACACGGTTTCAAAAATGAAGTGACACAATTCGTAATTCGAGCAGTGAATTTACAAATAAATAAACTTATTTTATTACCAAATTATAATGCTTCTGTACTTTATATCCCTTAATTATAATAATTCCACATTAATGCACTGTTCAAATACTCCTCTAGATCACACAATGTTACTGCAAGTGCCACTGCAGAAACTCACGGAAATATTGACAAGCTAGGAAACCGTGGCTGCCCAAATCATCAACAATTTGCTTTGTTTAAAATTCACAGCACAGATACACAACCATACGCCTCTTTGTACTAGCTCTAGAATTATACCCCTCGCTCCGCCGCAGGAGGGGGATATACCGGAGAATCTACCCATCGGAAGGAGGAACTATAGCCCTTCGCTCATGCAGCCCTGGGGCGGAGCGAAGGGCTATAGTTCTAGAGCTATCTTTGTATCTGTTTTAGCCCAGTGTTTACTTGTTGTAATCACGAGCCTTCTGCTCGAGTACAGCTTTATTTACATAGCAAAATCTCACGAAATACTTCAAAAATTGGCTATATAGCTTATTATACGGATTTGCAAAAATTATAGTGGGCGTTCTAATGTTGTACTGACTCAACATAGGTGGTCTTCTTTGAATCCACTTTTCTATTCTGATCTTGTAATTAGAATTAGTAATCTTGTAATTGACATGAACCTTTTACAAGGAGTATCATGTAGTTAAGTAACAAATTTCTGTCTAATCCTTTCTGGTTAAACAGGAAAGTACAAAGGTTTTATGCTGTTATCGGTAAAGTTGATATATCAATTTGATAGCCGGGGATTAGGCTCTTTTCTTTTCTATAAAAAATAATATTCGTTAACAGATTCATAAATGTAGTCAACATAAATATCGTGGCGCCACCTATTGGATACGTTGAACATATTTTTCTGCTTTCCCCTGTTTCAGATCTCCGAAACGGCGTCGTCTGGGAGCAACAGCAGCACGGAGGTATGCAAAACCTATGCAGTGTTTGTTTGGTATCTATCTCAAACTCACAATAACTAACTTTTTAACTAAACATTTAAAATCACTATTGTACAGGACATTGCAGGTCGCAAGGTACTTACCGCGGCGCCACCTATTTTGCAGTGTGTTGTCGACGAGGACTCGTCGTGATGCCAAGCTGGGCCATGAAGAGAATCTGGTGGGGAGACGTGTCGAAATGGCGGACGAGGCATTCCTTGAGAACGCGTCAGTCCTGAAGCAGATCGCTGAAGAAAGCAAGGAAGGTAAACATCTTAGCTGTGGCGCGAGATGAGACGTCTATGAGGCTCCTGATTGGTCGGTTTCTACGAGGCCCCTGATTGGTCGGATGCTACGAGGCTCCTGATTGGTCGATTTCTACGAGGCCCCTGATTGCTCGGCTGCGCGGATTCGCGCTGTCGCTCTGCGTTGGAAAAATTACAATGTCCGATTAGTTGCTTTTTTTTACATTTGGCATGTCACAGCCCCATGTTCTTCCTTGCCCCTTGCAAGATCCCCATGCTGTTTGTTTACGTCGCCGTAGCAACGCAGCTTGGCGTCGTCAGCGTGAACACGCACCTGGAGGAGAACCGCAGCGCCCACTGGTGCGAGGAGTACGAGACGGAGAAGCTTGTCGTTCGGCGCGGGCAGGCGTTCGAGCTGACGATAACGTTCGCCCGGAACTACGACCCGGAAGCCGACACCATCATCCTGCAGTTTGTGACAGGTGAGGGGAAAATTAACGTAGGAAGAGGACGCGGAAGCATTGAAGGTGAGCACGCCGGGAAGCATCGTGCTTTTGCGAGTCACTGTAATAAAATAACGTTTCATGTCTCCTGTGCCAGGGTTCTCCCCAGGATGAAATTCAAACAGGGGGAGGGGAGAGGAAGGGGGAGGG